GGAGTAAGTGCACAGTGACTCCTGTTGTTGACTTTACCAATTGACACTCCTGTTTATGGCATCAGTAATCTCCCTATGCACCAGTTATGAGTTTCCAAGGCTATGGAAGCCCCTTGAGTTCTCCGACTCTTATCTTGTTTAGACACGGTCATAGTCAAAGTGGAGGGTCTCTCCTCCCTTCAGAGAAAGGCACCTCCCTCTTTGAAGACCTGTTCTTTCCACTGGGATCTCACTCACAGAGATCTTTTTGCCAGAGTGTCTTGGCTTTCCATGCCTGAAATACTCTCATGGGCTTTTCAGCCAGATCCGAGTGCCTTTAGGGCTGATTCTGAGGCCAGAGTGCTATTTAGGACATCCGCCATTCTATGAGTCTGCTGAGTATCTCACTTCCCATGTTGGATCACTCTCCCCTTTATTTATTCTATCGGTTAGTGTTAGCAGATACTAGACTTGTTTATGTGCTCCCTTTGACTCTTAGTCCTTTCATTATGATCAATTGTGAACTGAAATTGATCACTTGGAGTAGTGAGATGGCATTGGCACATGCCACCTTGATGGGATTGAATTGGAATCCCCTGGTATGTTTCCAACTCTACCAATTGGGGCAAAAGACCCCCTTGCAGGGTGCTGTGAGCATTCAATGAGACAGCATACCTGGAACACGGCAGACACTTCAGCCTGCAGCTGCGGGCTGAAGGGACGGGTGCAGATGTGCACATGCTCTGAAGCACTGGTCATCGAGGCACTGGCTGACCAGCTGTCCTTCCTGGGAGGCGGTGAGCAGCTGTGGCCCCTCAGGCTTGTGACAAGGGCCTGTGCACTGGTTTGCAGCTGCTTTCTGAGGATCCCCTTTCTGAGTGGCCTGGATCATCTCTTTCTCTTCTCCTTTCCCCCTTTAACTTTCTACTCTATATTTTGCATTAAATTCTCTGGACCTAATTAATTAATTAAAATTGTTAGTTTACTCAAATTCTTCTTGGCAAGGGTGGAGGTGGGAGGGGCATGCATAAATAAATGAGTCCTTCAATGAAAAGGCTCCTAATTTAAAGACTGGAAAGTGAAGCCCCTGGAGCTAAGGTGACTCCTACAGGTCACCCCACAGATGTTAGGGGTGGGACTGTCTGCGGCAGTCCTATTGCAGGTTCAGCAGGCACATAGGCAGGAAGTTAACGCCAGAGCTCTTTCTATCCCCCACTTGCTCCTTCCCTGACCCTGGAGAGGTCCTTTTAAAACATGTCTCCCTCCTCCATGGTGTTTGCAACACCTCCCAATTTCCGTTTCTCACTGAATTTCATTAGTGTCCCATTTACCTCATCTTCCTGATCTCCAAAGCAGGCGTTAGGCAGGAAGAGGCTGAGCTGGCAACAAGGGCCCTGCCTCCTCCTGTTTGCAGGTGAAGGAGACATGCCAAGGAGGGGAAGGGGCCCATCAGCAGCAGGTCGACATGGTGCTCTGGTCCACTCAATTCAGAACAACGAACAGTAACTGACCCCTCGTATTCCAGGCACTGGGGTTCAAAGACCAGGACCATTCTTGCCCTGAAAACCCCCAGGTTCATGGGAATGGATGGATGGATGGATGGATGGATAATGCCCATGTAACGTGTTATAGGAACTCACCCTTGGGTAGGCAGAGAGAAGAACATGGGTAGGGTGGGAGGAGATGGTCAGTGGGTGCCTTCCAGAGAGGGCACAGTGTACAAGTAAAGGCAGAAAGGCTTGGATAGGAGCATGGATGCAAGTAACAATAAAGAATCTATTGTTGGACTACATCTTCATTCATTCAGTCAGTCAGTCAGTTAGGTCAGTCTGTATTTACTGCTGTGTGCTGGACATTGTTCCAGGAGTAAGACCACAGCAGGGAACAACATAAAGCAGGCCCCTGCCCTTGTGGGGCTTATGTTCTAAGGGGTGATGACAGAGAATGGACAATTACTGAGTACCTGATAATGTGTCAGGCAGAGACAAATGCCACCTAGGAAAGTTCAAATAGAGGGGGCAGCCTGGAAGATCTGAAGGGGGTGGACTGCTCCTTTGCACAAGTGGTTGGGCAGGTCCCTTCCTGCCCCACCATGCTCTCTCTGCCTTGCCACAACTCTGGTCCCCGGTAGCTCCCTGGGAGTGAACCCTGGTGCTCTGCTCACTTGGATGATGACTTCTAGGTCTGTTCACTGCTGCTCCGCTGCCTGAAGGCATTTGCCCAAGACTGGAGATAGGCTTTTTTCCTGCCTTAGGTCCTAAGGAGTATGTTTGAGGTCCACAGTATGAGTGAAGGGTGTGTGGAGAGCTGGATTTAGACAGGAAACAGGGGCCAATCAAGTAGGTCCTGGCAGGTGGAAGGAACCACGGGAGCCAGGGGAGGGTGTTGTGCACAGGAGTGAAGGGATCTGAGTGCTGCTTTCCCCAATTCTCTGGGTCAGACAGCAGAGAAAGGGGGAAGTAGATCACCCAGGGAGCATCCCATCAGAGATGGTGACTTGGACCGGAGCAGAGACAGAGGAGGTGGTCACAGGGCTGAAGAAGGGAGAGAAGTGATGGGTTGTTGTGAAAACAGCACAGAGAACAGAGGCAGGATGGGGGGAGGGAGTGGGCATGAGATTTTTTTTTTAAAAAAGAGAACATTCCAAAAAAATAGAGAACATTCCAGACAGAAGAACCCAGCTGCACCAAGGTTCAGGACCCACCCCATCCTGCCAGATCCTGGGTAGATCCTGGGTAGATCCTGGGTAGATCCTGCTACCCAATAGCCTAACACTTTTGCCAAATGTCTCATCTCCCCATATTGAGATGAGTGCAGCAAAACCTGGGTCTTGCTACATGGGCAGCTCCAACTCAGGGAGGCGTGGCATGTGTCTCTGAGCCAGGAGATCTGCCCCACCCTAGCCTACCAATCACCAATCACAGCAGAAAGCTGTGATCCTGTAGCTGTAACACTTGCAGGGCTTCAGGCAGTAGGCAAAGACAGACCCAGATGCAGAGGGATTTAGAGGAGGAAGAGGCGATCACGTTCCCTGGGTTTAGATGCAGTGAGGGTCAGATTCCATCAGCTTCGCATTGTTAGCTTTTATGTCCTCATTGCAAGCAAGCAAAGAAGGGTTGAAGAGTGGATCTTCAGCAACTTGCTAACCTTGCTAAATGCAACTCAGTTTCTCATCTTAAAAGTGGAGTTGTGATGGGATGGGTGCTTGGTGCAGCTGTTACATCATTGCCTGGGATGCCCACATTCCACATCAGAGTGACTTGTTGAGTACTGGCTTCTCTGCTTCCAATTCAGCTCCTTGCTAATGTGCTTGGGAAGGCAGTAGATGATGACCCAAGTACTTGGAGCCCTTCCACACATGTGGGAGACCTGGACTGAGCTCTGGGCTCCTGACTTCTGCCTGGCCCAGCCCTGACTATCATAGGCATTTGGGGAGTGAATCAGGAGATACAAAATCTCTCTTTCATTCTCTCTTTCTTGCTCTCTTACTCTCACTCTCACTCTGGTTCTCACTTTCTCTCTGCCTTTCAAATAAAGTTAAATCTTTAAAAATATGTACAACTATTTTTTGAAAAACAGGGTCACAAACATGCTTCACTGGGTTGTGGGAGTTGAATGAAACATGTCAATCAAGCACTTGGCACATTGCCTCAGTCAGGTGATCCAGACCTGCCCCTCTACAGGAAATGCTAGGAACTTTTAAGTGGTCTCCCCAGAGCACTATCTGTCTATCCTGCAGGGCACTGACCTCAGTGTGTGGTTGTGTGACCTTCGGGGAGACAGCAGGGACTCCCTTTGTATTTTGTTCCTTGTTTTCTCCCCAAAGTATCACCCGAAGCTGGTCCTGTGTTAAGGTACCTCTTCATTGGACAACTCAAAATACAGTCAGATCACAAGTCATGTAAGGTGCAGGCTCCAGCATTGCTCAGCTGGGAGAACTCGGATGAGATAATGCAGTTCTCTGAGCTCCATCGTTTGATGTGTGAGATGCAAATGATAACATCTACCGTGGAAGAGGTGGTTAGGACTCATCAAATACCCGCGTGTTGCCCACATTTGCCAGGGCCCTAGAAATCAGGGAGGACCATGGGTAGTGTGTCACTTCTGGACTAAAATCTTTAAGAGTCAATACCTTCCTGCCACCTCCTCCCCTGTTGCAATACACCTCAAGTCTGTCAGAGCTTCAGTCAGCCTGGCCCCTGAGTCACTGCATGGAGCAGAACATGATGAGCAGGGAAGAAAGCGTTGCCATGTTGGCCACAGTCTTTCTGGAGTGCATTTACTGCTGCAGCATCAGTGAGCCTAACAGGACCATCCCTTTCCTTGCAAGGCTGGCTGGAGGTACACCTCGCTGCCACAGGAGGTTCAAAGGTCATCCGTCTCCAACAAGGGGTTCATTCCCTCAGCCTCAGCTTCTTCTGCTGCTTCTGCAGCCTATTGTGTTAGAGTCAGCCTCCATTTACTGTTGTACCCCTCTGTGCTATGTCCCTTCTCTTGCTCAGAGCATCACTCCACTTCTCCCACATAACACAGGAGTGCCCTGCCATGTTGATCACTGCTATTCTGCACAGCCATATAAAGAAATGCTGCTTTCTATACCACCTGTCTGCCCCATTCTCAACTTTGCCTCTGCTCAGCTCCAGATGTAATCCCCACTCTCCAGGCCCTGCATCCTGGTCTCCAGGACCCTAGGACAGCCCTGATGGCCAGAACTTTCTCTTGTGGCCCCAGCCTTGCCTGTTAAGAGCACTCCCATCACACCCCTGGCTAGACATCTAACCTTGCCTGTCTTGCCCTCCCACCACATGGGCTACTAGTGCAGTGCTGGCTTCCAGCAGCCTCCTGCTCCCCCTAAAGGCCACCTCCACTTTGGCCTCATGTCCTCTACTTCCCATGCTGCCCAATGGCAAAAGCCTCCAGCCAAAAAGCATGCACGATTTCAGACTGCAAGATGGCATTTCTCATTGAGACCACAGTTTTGCAGCTGATGGCAGAAAAGCAGAGCAAGACAAGGGACTGACCTGCCTCCATGTCAGCACGTTCCGAAGAGTCAGCAGCAACCAGCGGCCCTGCAGCCCTGTCGTCAAGGCCATCAGATCCTGGAGGACGAGGCGGGACCCCTTCTGCTGGAGCAGAGAACACAGACCTGAGCGGGCGAGATGGGAAGGTGCTCTAACCCATGCTCACCGAGCTCACTCTCTAGCAGTCACTGCAGGCACACACCAGCAGGAGATGGGGCCGTCCCTAGTACAAGCAGCAGAGAAAAGCAGGTGGGGACCTGACCCCTTTGCAGACCCCACACAAGCTCTGCTGCTACACAGCCTTCCCAGGAGGCTCAGGGATACCTTCCTCTCTTCTCCACCGGTCCTGCGCTATGAGCGTGGGGCAACAGCCTTGGCTTGCAGTCATCATTTTCTTGGGTGTTTTCTCAAGTGGACCGAACCCCTCCAGTCAAGGACTGCTGATCAGTCCCCTTGACAACTCTGATGCACCGCACAGGGCATGGAGCAGAAGAGAACTGAGTGTGTGAGGGCCAAAGGATTGACTGCATGCTGGGATGCACATGAATGGGGAACAGAGCGCAGGTACACGCTTAGGGGTGTGGACTGTGGCAGTCCTATTGCAGGTTCAGCAGGCACATAGGCAGGTCATCTCGCCTCTCTGAACCTCAGTGTCCTGCTCTGTGAAATGGGCCAGTTCTTCCCGCAAGGCACCACATGGGTTCTATCCCCCCCGCCACCCGCACCACCCCTCATCCAGCCTCTGTTTCCTCATCTGTGAGTTGGTCCTTTCTGCTCCCAGGAAGCTACAACTATGACTATGAGCCACCTCCCCCTCTCGGGTAACCATGGAGATAATAATACAGGCTGCAAGAATGAATGCAAGAAATCTCATCCCTCTCAAAGAAGCGTAAGTGGTGGCAGGGGGTGGGGTGGGGGAGCTCAAAGTTTTTAATTCATTAGCATCAGGTCACCGCCAGAGGATGACCTGGGATTTGAACACAGGCCCTCACAGACTCCAGGCCCCTTCCTGCCACAAATACATATATTACTGCCACAGGCCTTTGTCCACAAAAGACCAGAAGGATCCACTTAGGCATCTGAGATGTTTTAAAAGAGTCATCACTGGAGAATTTCCCTGAGCACACAATTGCCAAATACACCCAGAAACCCAGCTGAAAGAATCCACTGTCTACTGGAAGATGGATACTTCCCACTTAAAATAAAATTTTCCGATGTGTGAAAGTTGGCTGGCTTCATTTGCATTTCACAGGTTTCCCTACTGTAAACCTGGTTCTTCTAAACACAGAGAACCCCCTTGGTCAGGCAGAGACACAGGGTCTGTGCCAGGGCAGGGGGTCCATCCCAACACCCAGGGTAGAAGGCCAGAAGGGCTACGGTAGAGTTAATGGGACAAAGTTAGGAGGGAAACCAAGCCCTTAAAAGTCATGTTAAATTCACTAAGACAACAAATAAGCAGCACACAGTGCAGGAGAGGACTCACTTACGGACTGCTATCCCTGTAACTCTATTTACCACGCCTTGTTCACTGGAAGCTTATCTGCCAGGTTTCGGGGAGAGGGACCGGTCTTGCTCAGCTCTGACAATGGGCAAAGTAAGAGGCATTTCCTCTTGCCAAGAGCCCAGGGCCTCCTGGATTTCAGGCCTGGGAGCTGCTGGCTTTGCCTGCCGCAGTCCGTATCTAAGGATTCTGAGGTTTCCTGTACAGATGAAAACTCTGCAGGTGCTTCTCAAACTCATTCCTTGGCCAGGTCCCTACAACACACTCTGCCCTGTGGGCTCCAGGCTAAGGCCGCACCTTCTCCTCCCTCTGCTCTCGACGAAGCTGCCCAAGTAGTGTTGACTGCTCTTCTGCCTTCACCTTTGCCAAGCCCTCAGGGAAACCCTTAACTCCTCCCCTTCTATCTCTTTCCTTTCCAGTTCTCATCCCAGGATCCCCTCTTCTCCAAGGCACCCCCATTCAAGTAGCACAATGACTGTTACTGAACCGCAAGATTCAAGAGTTGCTGAGAAAGTTTTAGGAGCATTTCTAAGTTAGCATTCTATTGAGGGGATCCCAGTTAGGGAGGGGTTATGGCATCCATTCATTCACTCATTCACTTATTCATACACTGGGCATTAGGAACTGTGCAGGATACACCGATGACTCCCAAATTCTGCCTTCTTGCAAGGAAATTAGCACTTGGTTACTTTGTAGAGATAAGATGTTAGAGGCCAGAGGAGGCTGACAAATCGGGGGTGGGGTATTCCCTGGACTGTGCTTTGCCTATGCTCAGCCCCCCACCAGAGACAGTATGAGATGGGCTGGCCTGCAGACAGGGCGGGGTACTCAATGGGAGACAGTGAGGGCATGGAAGGTGGAAGCATGGGAAGAATGAGTGCCTGGCTCAGCCTTCCAGAGCATCTGGCCGGAGCAGAGGGAAGCAGGTGACATCCCACCTGACAGGGGAGGTGGACCGCAAAAGACAGGGCCCTAAGTGCAAGACTGGAGAATGTAGCCATTATTCAGGGAGTAAGAGGAAACCCCCAGGAGCTGTCAAGTAGAGATGGGCCATCACTGGAGATCTGCTCTAGGAAAATGAAGTTGACAGGCCATGAGCAGTAGGAATTGAAAGAGCAGGTGCCTGGGGCGGGAAACTCCTAATTGTGTGCCCAGTCCTGGGCAGGCTGTCAGGCGCTTGCATCTCATTTAACCCTCTGGACAATCGCAGGAGGTGGCAGCCCTGAATTGTAGATGAGAAAAGGAAGCTGCAGAGAGGCGAGGCAGCTGTGCCAATAAGAGCTACACCTGGCTCTTGTCTTCTCTGGGTGAGCCATAAAGCATGCTGTGACAGTGCCCATGATATCTGTCTACCCGGCACACCTGTCCTCCTCTCCCAGCGCTCCTCCTGCCTGCCCGGGGGTGTGCAGCCTGCTCATTTGCAGCATTGCTGTTAGGGAGAGCCCAGGTAGAATGAGGTGCAGGGTGCCTTGGCCATGTCAGCTTCCCCCAAAGCAACCACGTGCCAGCCTTCACTTGGGTCCCAAACAGCACAGACACTTCCAAAGGTAGCAGGAAAGCAGCCAGCTCTGTGGTAGAGAGTGCTTGCTTTTGTCCTTGGCTGTTGCACTGAGCCACAGGAACAGGAACAGTGGAGCCAGAAGCCCAGGGCACATTTTTTGGGCACACGGGAACCTGCCAGGGAGCTACCCAGTGTGTCCGTGCTGTGGGCTGACCTCACTGTGCGGGAGGATCACCAGAGGACTGAATGCACTCGGGACTCATCACCACACCTGCAGCCTGAGGGGGGCGGGGCGGGGATCGAGCCACTCCCCCCAAGACACCTGCTAGTACAATTTATTTTTAAGAATAAAACAATACTTCATTGTAAACACAGGACAGGGTGACAGCTGTGCTGTATGCCTGACAATCAAGGAAGCCCAGAGCAGTGGCCAGAGCAGGGACTTGGGAAGCAAAAACAGAGTGGGGTCCATCACCTCTGCCTCAGTCACAGCTCTGTGGCCTTGGGCCACTGTTTCCTTGACAGAGTGGACCAGAGACGAAGCCCCAGACCCTCAGAACACACATCAGAATGTCAGATACCCTCTTCTTGCTTTGCAGGTTCGACACCCTGGGCCTTGTTTTCTCAGCGAGGGTACTCTCCTTCTCACAGTGACTGCTTGCACAAAGGGACAGAATGCCAAAACCATGGCAAGCCATTCACACCCTCGACCCCACCCTGGTGACCCATGTTTCTGAAGCTCTCTACTTCACAGTTTTCTCTTCCACCACACCGGGAGCCGCTTCAAGACCTTGCCCGCGGTCTCTTCCACCCCCGGCACCGTTGCTGTCTCTCTACTGTGGCTGCCTGATTTTGAGAACCAAACAACCTGCAGCACCGCAGTTCTTCATGGAGTTTATATTCCTAGCCTGGTTTGAAGAGTGATTGAAGCAACATCCAGTCTTTGGAAAACCATCTCCTGCTCATGCAAATCATTAGCACACAAAATACTCCACCTTGCTACTGTGCTAAGCACTTTTGCTTCTAATCCAAGCCCATCATGGGTGCCAACATATTCGATAACATCTTAATTACGCCAGGTCCTCCAAGGCCTCAGGACAGAGCCTGACCAGAGTGACAGATCAGTGATCCAACAGGATACCGGAAGAGGGTGTGACCCAGCAAAAAGAATGAAGTATCAAGATCGGACTCAAATCCGCACTGGTGCAGTTGGCAGAACACAGCCCAGTGCCTGGGGTTGGAATCAATGCTTGGCGAAGGTTAATTCTGTTTTATTCCCCTGACTCCAGAGAAAAGCAGAGCCGGGCAACTCGTTGCAAGTGAACAGGGAGCGAAGAGAAGATTCCCCACATTCCCCAGGTCCTTTGCAATATGGATCTTGTAAGCCTTTCTCCCTGAGGACTGCAGGAAGCAGGTTATTTCATTTTAATTATGGCAGCTGCAGCTGCTGCTGGTAGATTCACAGACCAATTTTCAGATTAAAGAGAAAACAACACACACACACACACACACACACTCACCAGGAGCCTCAGCTATGTACACAGATCAGCACCCCTTCACAGAGCCCAAGAATGAGGCGAAGATGCCAGAATGCGTGGCTCAAGACAGAGCCAGGTGGAAACTCTTGCCCTCACCTGGCCGCTTTCCCTCCCAGCTCACCTTCTCTCTGCCCTGAGTGGGCGAGAGCAGCTCGTGAGCCATGTGGTACCATGGAAGGCTGTGCGGTGAGCAGCTGCAGCTTTTTAAGGCACACAGGGGGAAATAAAGGCAGCCGACGGTCTTATGCGCTCTTCCAGGGCATCCTCATCCATGAAGGCACACAGGGCTTTTGTCCCAGGTTTTCAGTGGGTGGGGACAGCCTCCCTTGGACATGTCATGGGGAACATGTACCCTCTCTGCTGGGCAGGGAAGCTTGGCTAGAGCCCCCTGGCCTCCTTCTGGTGGCTCTGTCTCTTGAGGCTCTTCTCTGTGGACACACAGCGACTGTCAGTGTTAGCCATGGCCAGCTATGGCGCCCCAGTTGGTCGCAGGTGTGCTGCTGAGTGCTGAGCCACCTGCAGCCTCACCTTGGCAACAGCTGGGGATCCATTCGACCGTAAAACTCTTCAGTCAGAGAAGGTGGA